TCTCACTCTTATAAACACACACACACAACACACACAACACACACACACACACACACACACACACACACACACACACACACACACACACTCGCTCTGACCCTGCACGTCTACTTGCCGTGATCATAGGACTGGATACAGTACGAGGAAATAGAAGACCTGGAAGCGCGGCGAAGCCACTTCTTTGAGCAGCAGATGGAGGAGGCAGCAGCACAGAGGCACGCTTACCGCAGCCAGACGACGGAGCCCATCTCCTGCATAACCGCCAGCCCATCTGGAAACAACGTACGTCGCACGCATGTGCACACGGACACACACGGACACGCATGTGCACACGGACTTTTTCACTGGTTTTTTACAGTCTGTGATTCTCGTGCCTTTCACTGTGAACTGGAATAAATGGATAAAACACGGACCAAGCACGTAAATGGTGCAAAACGCAGGGAGAGCCACAAACTAGTACGGAGCTAATTACAGTCCGTTGCAGAATACACGGACTAAACACGGACTGCATATTAACAATTATCTAATCTCGAGAGTCCCCTACGTGGGTTTCCCCGCAGCATGGCAGCTGCAGAGCAGCAGCGGGAGCTTTTAAAGCAGCCGAATGTTAACAGGTGCTGGTACTCTAGCTATTTACCATCATTCGCTGTCGCGATGGACCTGCCTTAATACTGTATACACTGTATATTTCAGAGTGGTTTAATTTCTGCGAATTTCGCGAACGTGTCCCTGACCGCGAAAATAGCAACACACCGTTCTTCACTGATTCAGGAATCCACCGACCGCGAAATTGTCCGTCAAGTCTGAATTTGCGAAAATATCTGTACGCGAAAAATATGGCGTATACAGTAGTTGAATCTTGTGTTAGAACTCACACCTGGGTGCTGTCACACTGTATCTGGAATGAATTGTCTTCCAGTCCAGTGTTGAGCGAGGCAGCCGAGCTGCTGGTGTGCGTCTGCCACGCTGGCGGGGAAACGCACGTACTATGAACGTAATAAACATGACTCTCGAGATTAGATAATCACTAATAGGCAGTCCCTTGGCAGTCCGTGCTTAGTCTGTGGCAGTCCGTGTATTTTGCAACGGACTGTAATTAGCTCCGTAATAGTCCGTGGCTCTCCCTGCGTTTTGCACCATTTACGTGCTTTGTCCGTGTTTTATCCATTTATTCCAGTTCATAGTGTTTGTTCCTTAATCAGTGCTGATGACGTGTTGCTACGTCATCTTTCACTTCTATTGCTTAATGGGGTTTGTAACTCATAATAGTGTATAAAAAATTATTGTTCGCTTACACGTCGGTGCTGGTCAGTGGTGCACCCAATTGACACAGGAAGCGGAAGTCTTTACTGTCTCTACAGGACACCACTGATCCATTGTCACTACCCTATGTGGGTTCCACCTGCTGTGTATCATTTGATGCACAGTGGTTGACAAAGGAATTTCTGGCACGTTGCCCAGGTAGTGTGGGACTGCTGACAGAGTCTTAAATGCGGTTGGTTTTTTAGCACTGTGAGATCTGCCGCGAGGAGTTTGAACAGTTTTGGGATGAGGATGAAGAGGAATGGAAGCTAAAGAATGCAATCAGAGTGGACGGGAAGGTAGGTTGTTAACGTTGTAGCCCGAGCAAATTCCTAGGGCAAGATTCCATGCCTAGGCTGAGTAATGACAAGGGAGGGGCAGGCGCAGCTCCCAGTCAACGTGCGTAGCATATTGTTGGGGGTGGTCTGTGAGAAGTGGGTTTCACAGCTGACTACATGATGATTTACACTTATTATAGGGTTGTTTACGTTTTTATTAGGCATTTACTTTGCTTTCTTCTAAAATATAAGTGGAGCATACCTCAGGTACTCCTTGACACTGCATACCTGGCTGTGCGTGATTGCTTAGTATTGCTGAGTTTCCCGCGTTGATAATGGCTCTCGATGCCTTGTCGTTGTACAGAAAAGCCAAATAGGAGCTTGTCAAAAGTTACACGAGTGAACGACGAAACTAAGTGCATTTTCTCTTTGTGTTGCAGGCCTACCATCCGGGTTGTTATGATGATGGTCGCAGGGTAAGTACTGGCAGCTGTGAGGCTCATGGTTCACTGCCATGGTTACCAGTAACAGCCATTTTACATCTATCAGCTAGGTACTCTAGGCACAGAGGGTAGGTTCATTAAGTACTGCTGTTATCAGAAAACTGCCACGATAACCGGAGACCGGTCAGATCGCGGTCGAGTCTGATTTCGGATGAGCTGTAGTTGTTAGCACTGTGGCAGTGAGGTGATTAAAAGTAGAGATAAAGATGTAGTGATGCACGTAAGGTAAGCTGGAGACCTACACATTCCATCCCGCAGCATTGGTTAGTATTACATTCTGCAGCAGGCTAGGTTTCGAAGTTTTCAGCGCCTCTTTCAGTGTGTTGGCGATTGATTTGCAAGGCAGTAATAACATCAGTGCAGCAAGGTTCTTAGTTACATGCATAGTGTGAGAGAGCCTGTGGGTGCCAGTCTTGACATACAATGAAAGCTCAGTGTGAGTAACGGTTTTTTCTCGTGACTACTGATATATATGTTTATATATACATAAATATATATTGAATTTTTTCCCTCTTCCACTAAATAAATTTTCCTTGCCTTCCCTGCCTCCTGTGCACTGTACTGGTGCCAAGCGGCCAAATAAACTTCTTTCTAATAGTCCTGTGATTCTTGTGTTGTTTTATAAGCCAGATGTCATTTCTCATGGCCATTTGCTGGTCGCTTGCATGTGTGCAGGGGAAGGGCTGAGGGCCGACTCTTGCCAGATGTCCAAAAACAATTATTGAATGCGTGACTTCACAGAGACATGATTCACCCTCCATATTGTAACATCGCGTTGTCATGTGGTAGCAACCATCACGGTTGCAGCCGTGGATGTTTCTGGGCAGAAGATATGAAAGAAATGTTAACAAATATTGCAACAAGTTTATAACCGTAACGTTCTGTGTTTGTTCGCGGCGTCAGAACATCTATTCAGTGCTCAGCAACAGCAGGCAGCTTCAACAAGGTTAACGAAACATGACTCGTGTTGACATTGTCATCGAAGAAAGAACAGAAATTATTAGTCTTTTCCTTCGTTTTGTCTAATCAATAAACAGATGACAGTCCTATAACCATAAGCTCTCATCTGCCCACCCCTCGCAGCTTCCACAGCCTCCTGCAGCCTTGGCTACGTTGCATGGTTGTCACGTCAACACACGCATCTCCTTTGACCACGATGTCTGGACCTCAATTTATCTCCGACGTCATAATTCTCCATAATCAGACACTTGTCACGTGTGTCTTGACGTATGTCAGACAGACTGCAATTCTGCTGCTGCTGCAACGAACAACATTTTTCGCGTGGGAAGCGCGGACTGGTGGTAGTACCACAGATACGCGTGTGCGGCCGCCACGAGCTGACACGTGCACTGACTGCTATACGCTGCCTAGCCTCCCGGTTCGGTTTGACACACTCGCTGTTGCGAGGATGTGCGGCGTGAACGCACGAGGAGAGGGCAAGGTTGGCCGACAAGTGAGCGTTTCTCGCGTGTCGACCCAGGTTGGCGACGGCAGCTTGCATTGGTTGCGACGTCGCACCTGAGCTGACGGCGGCAGGCGAGAGGATTGTGGGCTGGCTGGCTGGCTGGCTGGCGGCCTGCAGAGAAGCTGATTGGCTCCCATCGACCGATGATGCTGACTGACAGATGGATAGAATTCCTCAATAGACTGGTAGACTTGCGATGAAACTATCATAACTGATTTGTTGACTGACGACAGCTGCACACACACACACTAATTATCTTACGCACACAATGACTTAACTGTTTGTTCTTATTACACTTTATTACACACGACTTATTGACTGTTGAACAGTATATAGACTTGCTGACCGTTGAACAGTATATAGACTTGCTGACCGTTGAACAGTATATAGACTTGGTGACTCTTAAACAGTATATAGACTTGTTGACCGTTGAACAATATATAGACTTGCCTACCGTTGTGTTGTGGAGCTATACCGATTTCAGTGTTTGCAGACAAAACTACACAGACATACCTAACTGTTGGATGAAATAGCTATATATCTTCCGGGCTTGGAGGTGACATCACAAACTTTTTGACTGTCGTGAGAAAGAGCTATACAGTTTTAGTTTTTGCAGACACCACACGGACTTTATAACAGTTGTACAAAAGTAAAAGTTTTGATTCTCGCAGATAACTTAACATAGCCTTGACAGCTCATAATAAAAGCTTTTGTATGATTACAACAATACACAGACTTGGTGACTGTTTCACAAAGTGACTTTACAGTTTCTATGCTTTGGAATAAAACATTCACCGACATACACAGACCACAACAACTGACATGTATTTAGCTAAGAATGAATGCCTGAATGACAGTAGACGGTAGACTGGTGGGTGGGATAGGTTATAGTGTGCCGTGGACGTGATGACAGCGACCGTTGCTGACTGTAGTGCACATGACCCTAGTGACGGGAGTGCTAGGAGCAGATTGGGAAACTGACAGTAAAGAAATGCGTCTGCTGCATATAACCTGCATGGCGGAATAACTGTCTACTGACTGACCAGCAATGCGCACTGTGGGCTCTCTCTCTCTACTAATGACAGTTTACTGTCAGCAGTGCGTGTGGGGGCATGGCGCTCGTCCGTACATTAGATGAAGAGAACAATAGAAAATGATGAATACTGATATGCGTGTAATATATTTTGTGTATATACTGATGTATTTCTGCATGCATGCTTCGCGTGATGTATTTTGCACGTCTAGCTGCGCTCGTCGCATAGGCACTTACACAGGGGCTTTGTCCACTTATTTCTTCGCGCATTATACGGATCTTGTGTGTGTGATTGAATTTGATTTACTCAAATATCCATACGTGCAATCATGACTTGTGTTTTCTCCAATCTCCCGATTTTACACGTAACTGGTGCTTGTGTTCTGGTTCTTATTGTTATTGTTGATGTTTGTGGTGTTGTTTGTCATCTTCTATAGATGATTCCGAATGTTGTTATTGCATTTTTGTGGTTTTACCAATAAAGGGGGGCTGCTTTCACACATGAGCGTCACGGTGCGTGTTATTGCAGAGCGAGAGTTTACCTAGGTAGCATGTTCTTTCACGGTTTCTCCCAACAGAGCTCAGCCTTGGACGAGGCATCAGCAGATGATCAGGGGCCATCTACGGTTGATGCAGGGTCTATAAAGCAGGAGGGTGGTGCCCCTGAAAAGGCTGCTCTCCAATCCCCTCCCGAACTGCCAAAATTCACTCCCCTGTCAACCGCTTCGGTTGAAATACCTGGCATCTCCATTATGGAGGAGGGAGAGGGAGAAGGGGAGGAGTCTGCAGGGGTTGCAGTCAAACCTGAGCCAATGGACGCTGAGACAGCTGAGGTATTGACGGCAGTGAAGCAAGAGCCAGAAGCGTCCATGCAGCAGGAAGACATGCACAGCAGAGTTGCTGAGAAACTTGAAGCTGTGTGCAGCAGCGGTGATGTGCAGCACCATGTTGTGCAGCACGATGTTGTGCAGCACGATGTTGTGCAGCACGGTGTTGCTGCGCATCGTGCCGGCGCAGTTGCACACGAACCTGCGGTAGTGGTAAAACCAGAAACAGAACCTACTACGACAGCTGTACAGGGGTCTGCACTAGTGGTAAAGCCGGAACCTGGCACAGCAGTTGTGCAGGAGTCTGCAGTAGTAGTGAAATCTGAAACGGAACATGCGGTAGTCGTGCAGGAATTGGCAGTATTGGTAAATGCGGAAGCTGAACCTGCCACGATAATGGTACAGCCGTCCGTGCTTGTGTCAAAAGCTGAACCTGCTGAGATTGTCTCGCAGGAATTTCTGGTAGCAGTAAAACCTGAAGTGAAAATTGATGACAAGTTCGCGCACAATTCCTCCGCACCGGTGGTCGAACCACAACACGAACTTGCGGCTCCACCAGCACCACCTGCTGTCGTGAAGGAAGAACCGAATTCGGACCAGGAGGAGGAGGGAGATGTGGACATGGAGGAGCCTGGTCGACCGGGAGGGTCCCTCTCTCCTGCTGCAGCTGTTAATGCGGTGGAGGAGCCAGCGACGAACAAGGACGGGGTGTCTGTGGAGCTATCCCCAGGAACGCCTGTAAGGGACGAGCAGCCTCCGAGCAGCGCGACACCCATCCGCGACGAACCAATGGACGTGCTTGTCGATCTCGTGATTCCTGTTGCCGAGGCAACGGAAGAGTTGCCAGGCGAGGCCGTACCCAGAACGTAGCCGCTAGGTGGCGTTGTCGTGCATCCTGGCAACTTTTCTGTGATAGGTTACATGTTTCTTGACGGAAGCTGTTGCTTGGTGAATATGGGTAAATAGACGCGAATATCGATAGCAGTTATGTTTCACTCGGTTCGATTTGTGATGCCGATGACAATATTAATATAGGTTACATCATTGTGGTTTTTGGTGCTGGATTCCTAATGCGATTATAACGTTTATACACTGCATTTGACATTGTGTGGCCTTGTTATTGTATGGTGTGGTGTTTTGTGTGGTGTGTTATACTCTACCTAGCTATAGCGTTTTGCACAGACCGTGAAGTCTGTCTGCTCATTCATTATACGTCGGAAATACGTGGGTAACTGAATTCAGCCATGCATGAATGAAGTGTGTATTGATTTCAGTCAGTGTTATTGTACTAGATATGTGTCGTAGTGCTTTGTAACACTAGTAGGTGGTATTTGGTTGTTGGTTTATTCCTAGTTCCTAAAACCTCCCGCCGAACCCAATCGTCTTAAAACCCAGGTTTATTGGCGCTAGATGGCGCTGATTTTAATCAACAATAGCCTTCAATGGGGGTGCTTAAATGGTGCATCCGGCGTTGAAGTCCTAAGATAATTATTTACGTGCCAGTTGACGAGACGGTGATGACAATGACGTTAGCGACGACGATGACACTATATCAGTTTTGTTCAATTTTGTAGCGAATGCTAGGACATATATATATATATATAAGAATGTAACGAGAAAAAGACAAAAGGCCATTAAAAGGTTTTACTCATTGTTAGATGTCTTGCTGACGTCTGCCTCTCTATGAGATAATGAGCATTAAAAAAAGCTTTACAACTTCGTTCTTTTTTTTCTATGTTCTTTTTGTTGGGTATATTTGCGCTAAATAACGTGCCGGTTTTATGTAAAGTCACTTCGCTGTGTAATATCGCCGACAGGTGGCGTGCAGTGTCGCGGGTTATGTTGAATTCGCCTTTTTGAGCAGTTGCATGTAATGCGTTTACAGTATTGATATCAGGTGATTGATATGTTGTGTTCCAACGTGCACAAATCTCTCCCGTTTAAAACAATGGCATATAGGGTTCATGAAGTCCTCGTTTGAGTTTATTTGATTTGCAAAATATGAATAGGAAATGTAGGAAATGCTAGCTTATACATACACACACATATATATCAAGATATAATATGATTATATATGTTGTATAACTGGTGTTATCATAGTAAATTTTATCAGATGCATTAACATGGGAACTGCGTGAAATTAACATCGAGTGCGTTTGAAGAGAGTGGTCTTTTACCTGCAGATTCCAGTTCGAGCCCTAATACTAATAGTGGCAGTGAATTCACATTGCTCCGATTGTGTGGTGAGCGTGCTGGTCTGCTGGTGCAGCTTTATAATAAAGCGATGAGATGCGAGTTTGTTAAACATCTTACACGAGTGGGTTATTGGTTTCATTACATGTCTTCTGCATTTATTTGGTACTATATATGTGTGCGTGCGTGTGTAAAGAGTTTTTAACGCTTTTGTGACCATAATTACATTCTATAATAATGATAATAATAGAGGTAACTTATGGAAATGACAGAACTAGAGCAATGATAATACATTAATAGTGAACATCATTTAATAGTTAATAAATAACTTTTTAAGCTGCCTAATGACTCGTAATTTTCGCAAATTGTAAATAAAGAATCATATTTACGCGTCATTAATATCAATTTATTCACTCAATCCGTAAAAAATCATTAAAAACAAGCAATTTCTCTTTTGCACATCTAATGTATGAAGTAAAGTATAACAAAAATTTCTGGATTAACCGCTAATGTGCTGCTATTTGCGTCGTAGTGCAGTTCCTTCCTGAGAAGGACCATCGGGGGTGAAGCTATACTAGATGACTTGGTGCGATTACTATAGATGACTTCGTGCGATTACTAGATTACTTCGTGCGATTACTAGATGGCTTCATATCCGATCACATTTGCGTCGTCTCGTCAGGAACGGCCCCATAGAGGTGGTGATGCGGTTCTGGCGTGCACGGAGCAGCATGTGATGGGTCATCGTGAACCTCTAGCATGTTGCTATCTCGTAGCGTCTCCTACCCTCCAGTCAAACGACAAAATGTTAGAAGCAGCTAGTGAGAGATTCAATAATTCGTTAGTTGTAATGTACGTGGTATTCCCTAGTAGCTGTGTAGGAGATCAGTAACGTTTTTAGCCCGAAATTCGCAAAGACAAAATCTGCTGAAGTGGCACCAGAGTAGTAGCGACAGCACTAGCAGCAGCGGCAGCGGCAGCTCTACCGGTGTATCCCCTTCGCTCCAGCTGCAGGGTATACAAGGTACGCTAGGTGCGCTCTAGCTCCCTGTAGCGGGAGCGAGTGGGCTACACTGGTAGAGCTACGACAGCGGCGGCAATAGCAGCAGTGGGAGTATTAACATCCGCAGCAGCAGCAACAGAAGCAGCAACAGAAGCAGCAGCAGCAGTGACAGCAACAGCAGCAGTGACAGCAGCGGTCTTAACAGCAGCAGAAACAGCAACAGCAGAAGCGGTGACAGTAGCAACATCAACAGCAGAAGCGGTGACAGTAGCAGCCGCAGCCTTATCACAGGCATCACGGACAGTAGTACCTGCACTCTGGTACCTGTTTACGGAAACTGATATTGGCAAATTGGAAACAGTTGCAATTACAAAAATAATAATAGATAATATAACATTCTAATATGACACAAATTTACTGAAAACTGTATCGTATTACAAGAAAAGGCCTATTCCGTATTGATCGAAAAACTTTCGTACAGCTGACACAAGATAACTATGTAAATCAGATCACCTGGCTAACTGACTTTTGCATTGACAATCGTCGCTTTGTTCCTAGTTCTGCGGTTTGAGAGTCATAATGAGTGAACCCTTCATTGTCATATTCACCAACGCCATTCATCTGCGGTTTCGCTTTCTGCAAATAACCAGCAACGCGAATTATGTGAGTGTGTGCGTGCTCGTGTTTATTTGTGTTTGCGGCCTTAACGAGGTATTTCATCTCTTGATTTCATCAATTAACCATCTTTGTGCTACTATATGGGATAATTCATTACATTCAATTTCTCATTATTCCGTTTAGCACACCGTTCCTTGAGGTAGATTACACATGTATAACGATAATGAATAACAGTAATGAATAATTCAGGATCTGGTTATTCCCATTCATGTCTCATTAATTTTGTGTTTCCAAATGCAGCGCATATTATAGCCCTCATCTCGTCATGTAATCCTATAGTTGTAAGAGCGTAAAATTCTCTCTGAGTGTATTTCTAGTACCATAAACACAGCGCTGATCTCTTCGATGGTTTTCCCTTTCGTTTCCGGTAGCGTGAAGAATATGTAGGTGATGAGAAGTGCGATACATCCGGCAAAGATCAGAAAAACGTATGAGCCCATCTGTGCCTACAATGATTCACAACAGCGAGATATAATCAAGAGCAGATAATAACCCATTATTATCTGCTCTTGATATTATCTGCTCTTGGGTTATTATCTGCTCTTGGTTATATCTGCTGTTATATATTATCTGCTCTTGGGTTATTATCTGCTCTTGATATAATTCATAATCATAAACTAATAATATCGCACGAAGGGTCGTTGTCGTAACAGGTACTACAGATATGTACCCGAGGTAGTTTTAGGTTGTTTAGTATTATGTTTATATTTTTATATGAGGTATGTTTAGGGTTAGGGTTAGGATTAGGGTTAGTGTTAGGGCTAGGGTGCACTTCTGTAGTA